GTCTCACGGGGGATGTTTGAGAGATTTCATTTTCTGGAGACAAGGGTGGAAAAAAGGTAACTTTACAAAGTGGCAGAAATCTTCAAACCCAGGAGTGGACATATGCAACAAGTGGTGGCTTTAGTGTTTCAAGGACGATCTTTGTCAGAGGCCCATGTCCAAAACAAGAAGCAGACTGTCACCTTCCACAGGCATTTGCTGAGTTTAGGGGTTATAGGAAATGGATCTATTCTGGAACCAAATGCAAATGTTGGGAATGCCAGGCCTGGGGTCCCCACATCTTTAGGGACAGATTTGACAATTGGGATGCCCCCACAACCTGGCAATTCTCTCCATGACAACGTAGGCACTGAGCCTTGTGCACTATCCCTTGGCATCCAGTGTCAGGACGAGAGGCCATAGAACCCACAGCTTTCAACAGCACTGGAAATGCAAGTACCACACCATCCAAAGCCATTATAGTCACAGAGGGCTCCACATCCGGGAATTCCTGTCCTTTCTGCCTTGTCCCCTCCGTGCTTCCTCCCACACGTCTCCACCCCCACAGGCCCCAGAGCCTCTTATTCATTCTTTCTTCCACTCTAATAGTCTTCTCCAAAGGACCGTGCCACTACCTCATTGTTGCTTAAATTTTGAGGAAGGTGTTGCTAAGCTGCCCAGGCTGACTTCCAATTTGTGATCCTCCTGCCTCAGCCTCTCATTAGCTGGATTACAGATGTGCTCAGCTAAATTACTGCTCGGTTAAATTTGACCTTCTTTCTCTTCTGTTTTGTTTTTCTCCCATTTAATATTATCTGGCACTCTTTTTAAATGTATGTGTTTATATGTTCTCTGATTAAAAGAAAAAAAACCTCTGTGAGTGCATGACTTATAATCTATTTAGTTCCTACTATATTTCTGCTACCTTAACGTGTTCCTGTTACGTAGCAGGTGCCCGAAGAATATATACTGGGAAAAAAATTGAACGAGAAAACTACTATATGGGTTTTCAACACCGGACTAAACTTTGAGGTTCTTATATGAGTGGCAAGGATGTATGAAGTCTTTCAGATGCCAGATATAATGTGGGGAAAAGGGAGTTGTGGAAAGTTTGATCAGTGGTTATTTTTTAATTATTATTTTTTAGTGGTAATTGGACACAATATCTTTATTTCAGTTATTTATTTTTATGTGGTGCTGAGGATCAAACCAGGGTTGGGCATGTGCAAGGTGAGCACTCTACCACTGAGCCACAACCCCAGACCAATCAGTGGTTCTTAAGTAACCGTTAAATAAAGGTAAGAAATTCTGGTGTGTGTTGCACAACAGGGCTACCATACATAGCAAATATATACTGTATAATTCAAAAAGTTAGAAAGGATTCTGAGCTTTCACCATAAGAGATGGTAAATGTTGAAGGAGACAGGCATGTTTAACCCAATTTAAACCTTACAAAATGCATATGTGTATCAAAACATCACCTGACACCTATTAATATGTACAATATTGTTTTTACATAGCAATTAAAAATTAGAAATGCTGAAAACTAAAAAATTCTAAAATAAAATGTATGTATGCATGCATGCACACATAGGGATGGAGAGAAAGAGAGAGAGAGAGAGAGAAGAAGGAGATAGATAGAAGAAAAGAGGGAACGTAGAACTAAAGATACAAGAAAAGGCACCAGAAAAGAAAATATATATATATATAATCCACAATACAAAAAGCATTGTCAGCCTCAATAGTCATATGACTATGAATTACTCTTGTCTCCAGTTTATGTGTGTAGGAACTAAGGGTTTGGGAGTTAAAATCTTGACCTCTTGAAGTGGCCTGATGTTTTGAGGTGAGTCTCCTAATTTCAAATCTGGGAACCAATGCAGGCCATAGTAGAGGGGACAGACATGTTGGCTAAGCATGTATTACAAAACCTTAATTCAAAGAAGACTCTAGAAACAAATGACACTTCTGAGATTATTTGGTCTAGAGTAGCTGGAAATACAGGAACCCCCCTCCTGCCCCCCCCCCCCAACAGAGGCAGGGCGTGCTGTCAGAAAGGCTGAAAGGGGAAGCAGCCAAGCTTCAATAACAGGAAAGGCCTTGCAGAAGGTAAACCTTAGGGTGGGCTCACAGGACAGGGTTTGATTAGTGGTCAGAGAAGGTATATTTCAGGAAAAAAAGAACTTTATGAGCCCAATAATCCATTTCTTCTTTTCATCAGTATCAATACTAACTTCAAATTCAACGAGGCTAGTGAGTCTAGCAGCAAAATGGACTAATATCAAACTTCTAAAGGTCTGCAGGTGTGTGCAGCCACCTTCTGGAGGCCCAGAGCATGGGCACTATATTGGCAGACAGGGCTTAACTCTTGGCCCTTTGCTTCATGAGCTCAAAAAGCACAAATTTTGTGCATTTTACTCCTGTGGGTCCATTTAAGGTCTCCTGCCTTTTAATGGAAAAGATTTAATGATATCTAGAAAAGCAATAAAGGTGTTTGGGTTTTAAGATCTTAATATCCGATGGTCTGTGGAATGATTGGAAGTTATATTTCCACTGATTCCTGGAAAGGGGTGAGAGGACTCTGCCAACCTAAATATTGGGAGATTGCATTTCTCTCTTGGATAAAAAAAATGTCTCTTTTCTATCCCTCCTTCATATTGCAAAAAGCTTGTTTTGTTTAGAAAGTTACCCTTATTAAAAACAACAACAACAAAACCAACCTGAGAGCAAAACAGAGGAATGAAGTGTGTAGCTGATTGAGAAAAGAAACTGACTTACATTCTAACTTTTGCAATTTTCATTTTTTTATTGGTGCTTTATAGTTGTACATAATGGTGGGATTCATTGTTACATATTTGTACATTCACACAATATAACAGTATTTCTCCTTTCCCTCCACTCCTCCCACCCATTGGTCCCTTTTGTCTACTCTATTATCTCCTTTTGAGTTTCATGAGATTTTCCCCCATCACCACCTTTCTTTTCCTTTTCCTCCCTAGCTTTCACAAATAAGACAACATATACATCTTGACCTTCTCTGAACTCTTGTAGTTGTTATCAGAGGACTCTAATACACACCAGAAGAAAGAGGTTGGGGTATAGTGTTGTTTGCTTTTGAAATATTCTCAGTCAAATTGGTAGGAAAATAATTTTTATTCAAAGCCTATTTTGAAATAATGGGGGGCACATGAGGTTAAGGAAATAATTCTATGAACTGGGCCCACTGTGCTGACCCCTACAGGCTTTCATTTTTTAAAAGAAATTTACCTACAGCCCTGCCTGGCTTAAGTGGACAGGATATATCACATTCTTTGGCCAATCACGTGTTATCTGCAGGAAAATGTAGGTGTGTGTGTGTGTGTGTGTGTGTGTGTGTGTGTGTACTTTTGTGACCCTTATACAGACCAGATCTCAGAACTCAGGGAGAAAAAGATAATTCCCCCTAACCATAAAGTCTGCAAGAACAGGATCCAAATAGAACAGGTGCTGACCAAAGTGACTCTGAGTTTTTTTGGCAGTGGGGACTTGAAAGTCTGATGTCATCAGACTGTCAGTCAAAAACCAAGAGATGGACCTGGGTGGGACTCTAGAAACCCCTGAGAACCACAATGAAATTGGAGGGCTGGAGAGGCTACCCTTCTGAGAGGAGAGGGCCCACTCTCTCCCTTGAGCGGGTCCCCATTTCCCTTTCATATTCCTTCTAAGAAACTCATGCCTGTTCTGAGTGACATGGGGTGAAGGGTGTATATAGGGGGGGTCTGATTTCAACTGTGGGATGAAGTGGGGAGTGTCTTCATGCTGTCTCAGTTTCAGGGAAGGTCCCTGCCCTGTTACAGAGGGAAGCTAGGATGCAATTGTTTTAAAGGTTCTATCTCCAAAATCTGAAACTTAGGACCTCTAAAGAGAGGAGGCAGGGAACTGATAGAGCAGGAAACGGACATAATGTGGATTCAGCCTGTTAGCTTCAGTGAGCAACCTTCAGTGTGCTCCCCCTGTGCCTGTCAGGCTGGGTCCCAGCCCACCCCTAGCCTCCAGTGGGTGTGAAGAAGCCAATCCTGATTTCATGTGGGGTGTGCATGCAAATTCAGTTTCAAAAGGAAGAAAAAATGTGACCTTGTGAAAACAAGTGGTGCACCTGTAGCAGGATCAAGCTGTATTAGGGACAAGAGGGACTTCATACAGAAGGTGTGGAGGTAGGGAGGGGGGCAGAGAACCCTGGTCCACCTAGGACAATTGTACAGTGTCACTGCTTTAAAAAAAAAGGCCAGCTCAGCATCTGACTCGGGAGGGAAGATCCAGCCCTTGCTAGGGAGAGAAGCCGTGCTAGACTTAAGCCCTAACTTCTTTTTTCTTCAGTCCCATCCCAACAGCCTTTAGTCTTTTTGTCAAATTAGGCTGAGAAAAAGTTAAAAAGGCACATTTCCAGCACTTATTTTACAAAAGAAAACAGGAAGGACCCACAAAATTTCATTGTCCAATGTACCTGAGATCCATTGAACCTCTTCCTGAGAGGCCTGAAGGCACTGGTGTACAAAGGCCTGCTAGGCATCAGAAATTGCCCATCTGGTACAGTAGCACACAACTGAAATCTCATAGGCTCTGAGGAAAAAGGAAGACCGCGAGTTCAAAGCCAGACTCAGCAATTTAGCAAGGCCCAAATCAGCCCAGCAAAGACATCGTCTGAAAAAAAGAGCTGGAGATGTGGCTCTGTGGTGGAGCTCCCCTGGGTTCAAGGGCCGCCCCCTCTAAGAAAAAAAAAAAAAACACAACAAAAACAGGCAATTACTAGTTTAAATCCACCCTGATGTTAAGCGAAATGAACACTAAATATGAAGTTCCCGTCTTTGAATATCAACGTAAGAGTTCGAAAAGCAGAAAATCACACTTGATGTGCCTTTTCAATTAAAGGCTTCGGATGAAAAGCACCTCTGGCCTGCTACTCCAGAAGTATTGAAGTGCATCAGTCTTTTTGGAAACCGTGGTTGGCTCTGAAAAGAGCCTTTGAGAAGTGGGCAGTCAGACAAATTCACTTGGAGCTGGTGTACTTGGTGACCGCCTTGGTGCCCTCGGACACGGCGTGCTTGGCCAGCTCCCCGGGCAGCAGCAGGCGCACCGCCGTCTGGATCTCCCGGGACGTGATGGTCGAGCGCTTGTTGTAGTGCGCCAGGCGCGAGGCCTCGCCGGCGATGCGCTCGAAGATGTCGTTSACGAACGAGTTCATGATGCCCATGGCCTTGGACGAGATGCCGGTGTCGGGGTGCACCTGCTTGAGCACCTTGTACACGTAGACCGAGTAGCTCTCCTTGCGGCTGCGCTTGCGCTTCTTGCCGTCCTTCTTCTGCGCCTTGGTCACCGCCTTCTTGGAGCCCTTCTTCGGGGCAGGAGCGGACTTGGCTGGCTCAGGCATGGCGAGAACGAACTGGCGAAAGTGAGGAGTTCACCGCTGGGGCCTCTTTAAGTATAGAATGTTATGTAAATGAGGAGTAGTAGAGGTCTGTGGTGATTGGTGGTTAATTTGGCCTGACGTCAGATGCCAGTTTTGTCCAATCATAGCTCGCGACCTGCAAAAGCGCGTTCCATTTATCAAAATAAAAATGAAATCCAACCAATCGTACAGCTTCGTTTTCGCGCCCAGGAGACTGTTGTGTGTCCTACCAGACCATCAGCTTTAAGGGACCTAGGCGGTTTGTCTTATTGAGAAAACCTGGACGCACAAAGGAGGGTGGCAAGGCGCGTGCAAGGCCAAGACGCGCCCCAGCGCCAGCCTGAAGTTTCCCGTGGGCAGAGTTCACCGCCTTCTGCGCAAGGGCAACTATGCCGAGCGGGTCGGGGCCGGCGCCTGGGCGCCGGTCTACCTGGCTGCGGTGCTTGAGTACCTGACCGCCGAGATCCTGGAGCTGGCTGGCAACGCGGCACGCGCATCATCCCTAGCCACCTGCAGCTGGCCATCCACAGCGATGAGCTCACTAAGCTCCGGGGTCGTGTGACCATCGCTAAGGTAGTGTCCTGCCCAACAAGACCCAGAACCACCACAAGGTCAAGTGACAACTCGTTAGAATAAAACGGGTCTTAAGAGCCAGCTGTGTTTCTGGAGAAGAGCTGGGAATAAAATGATAAGTGTGCAGCTGGTTTCAGAGATGGGTGGGTGGCTCTGAAAAGAGCCTTTGGGGCTGCGGTTGCTGCAAACAACCTGCTTCCTACTTCTTCTTAGAAGCCGCCTTCTTGGCCTTGGCCGCTTTGGGCTTCGCTGCCTTGGGCTTGGAGACCTTGGGTTTGGCTGCCTTGGACTTTACCGCTTTGGGCTTAGCCGGGCTCTTGGCTGCTTTTTTAGGCTTCGCAGCAGCCTTGGCCTTCTTGGGGCTCTTGGCCACTTTTTTGACACCGGCCGCTGCAGGCTTCTTGGCTTTCTTGGGGGTCTTCTTGACGGCTTTCTTGGCTCCAGCAGCCTTCTTGGGCTTCTTCGGCGTGGCCCCCGCGGGCTTCTTCGCCTTGGCCGCCCCTGCCTTCTTGGCCTTGGGCTTGGCTTCCCCGGCGGCCGCCTTCTTGTTGAGCTTGAAGGAGCCGGAGGCGCCGGTGCCCTTGGTCTGCACCAGGGTGCCCTTGCTCACCAGGCTCTTGAGGCCCAGCTTGATGCGGCTGTTGTTCTTCTCCACGTCGTAGCCACCAGCTGCCAGCGCCTTCTTGAGCGCGGCCAAGGACAGGCCATTTCGCTCCTTAGAGGCGGCCACAGCCTTGGTGATGAGCTCTGAGACTGGGGGTCCAGTCGCCTTGCGCTTCGCCGCGCCAGCCCCCGCAGCCTTCTTGGTGGACTTCTTCTTGGCAGGGGACTTCTCCACTGGCGCCGGGGCCGCGGTCTCGGCAGGAGCAGTTTCCGACATGGCGATAGGAAGAACTCCTACAGGAGAGACTCGAAATCTAAAGAGCAACTTTTGCAATGCTCCTTAGCTCCGACCTGGGGTTTATATAAGCCGGCGCTGGCCTGTGATTGGTGGAGCGTCCAATCCACCGCCCTCAGGCCGCTATGGCTCAAGGTTGAACTCCTAAATTGTGTTTGTTAGTCCCGCAAATTTGATTAAATATTGAAAACAACAGCCCAGAATTTTGTGTTTTAAAGCGCCAAAAGGAAGAGAACATCCTCTATGTCTACATGATTGTCTGTTTTCACGATTGTCTGTCGTCACACCTAGTATATGAAAGATGTTTTTAAAACTCCCTTTATTTAAAAAGTTTTTTCATAAGAATCCACTAGACTGAGGGGATTGTGTTATTCTAGTAAGTGTCCAATAAACATTATTTGAAAGGATTTGTCAGTAGTTTCCACCTTTGATTTTTGCAAGAAAGAAGACAATAGTTTCCCTGGTTGGGGTATATACTTTGTTTCTAACTGTAGCAAGAAACACAGGCACAGGGGTCTGGTGGGCTACAATCTGAAATTAACATCACAGACCTTATTTTAAAAACCTGTTCTGCCTCCTACTAGTTTCCATGTGGAGATGTCTTTTACAAAAAATGAGATTTTGTAGCTAGGCAAAACTCAGTTGTCAGAGTGATTTCTTCCATTGCTGAAGCAGATTTTGAAATCACTTGAACTTCAGAAACCCTCCAGCTGAATTCAAAATTAAATTCAGTATGTTTTCTGGTGGAAGTTCTTTCTCACTTTATTTCTTGGGGAAAATTTATTAAAATAGGGTTAATGATAAGTAATACAGATAATTTGCTTTTGAAAGAATTTCTAAAACCTGAAGAAAATTGAGAACTTTCTGTAACCCTAAAATGCACAAATTGTTTAGATGATCTGGGACCTTGTGAGGTTTGAAAGTGTTCACAGTGAAAGCTCCATTAGCATTTAATAAGCTGCACTATCAGAAATACTTTTTTTTGTAAGAAGCCAGCATACATAGGCATGGTATTTTTTTGTTTGTTTGTTTGTAGGTGCAGACATACAAATATTGTGGAATAACTGGATATGGACTGTGAGACTGCATTGAGTATTCAATGATGGACTTAGAGTTATAGAGATAATGACCTTGAAGTTAGAAAGTAGGTGAGGGTTGTTGTTTTGGGGTGAAAAGGGAAATGGACAGAGTTTTGTTCAGATTTAATTCAGATCTCAAATGAAATCAACTTTTTTTTTCTTTTTTAAAGGTTCTTTTTGAGCAAAATAATAACAACAATAATAAGTTAAAAAAAAAATGAAAATCAAGTTGCTTTAGTACGTGCCAGTGCAAAAAAGTGGTTGATTCTGGACAGTGGTCTTTTTTTATATGACCCTCATATTAAGAACTGTCTTTACATTTTAAAGGATGGTTAAAAAAAAAAAATACATAACACAGACCATGTGGCTCTTAAAGCCTAAAAATATTTGCTATTTGGCCCTTTGCTATTTTGAACTTCAGACAGATGATGCTATAGGTCTCCTTCAACAAAGCAAATTAAAACTGAAGATCAACAATACAATACTCTAACCAAAACTTTCCACAATTTCAATCACAAAACTTTTAAGAATGAGGGGAAAGACTCCAAACTCCAATATTGAGGGGAGCAAGTGTGTAACAATATGGGATGCCTTTCTTGTAGCATTTAGTAAATAACAAGTGACCCCTAAGTATTCTCTGCAGGTTTTACTTCTTTTGCCACATTTTATAGCTGTACAAGCCTAAGCCTAGAGAATGACTTGGCAAACTATACTGCTAGTAACTGACAGTGTTGTATTTAACCTGTCTAGACATCTGGTCTCATCTCTAGTGTGGCAGGAAGATAACAGAAGATGGGGGGAGAGAACAATGAAGCCAGCATGGCAGGAGCTTGAGGTTAAATTAGAAGACCTTCTAGCCTCATGATTCAGAACTCTTTCCTTAATCAATGCCCAGTTTCCAGAAAGCTTTAGGGCCAGCTGCTGTGGTGAGCCCGTTTACACACCAACACTATATGGTGTGAAAAGACTCAAGAACACGTCAGTGTGGTCCAGAAGCAAAGTACCTCTGGGAAGACAACCGACCTTGGGTTAGATTATCCGTGGAACAGCTCCATTTTAGTGATAAATGAGGGGCTCTGAAAAGAGCCTTTTGGGGGTAGTTCAGACTTTTGGCCACTAGAAATTCACGCCCTCTCCCCGCGGATGCGGCGCGCCAGCTGGATGTCCTTGGGCATGATGGTGACGCGCTTGGCGTGGATGGCGCACAGGTTGGTGTCCTCGAACAGCCCCACCAGGTAGGCCTCGCAGGCCTCCTGCAGCGCCATGACCGCCGAGCTCTGGAAGCGCAGGTCGGTCTTGAAGTCCTGCGCGATCTCGCGCACCAGGCGCTGGAACGGCAGCTTGCGGATCAGCAGCTCCGTGGACTTCTGGTAGCGGCGGATCTCGCGCAGCGCCACGGTGCCGGGCCGGTAGCGGTGAGGCTTCTTGACGCCGCCGGTGGCCGGGGCGCTCTTGCGGGCGGCCTTGGTGGCCAGCTGCTTGCGCGGGGCCTTGCCGCCGGTGGACTTGCGCGCTGTCTGCTTGGTACGAGCCATACTTGAGCTCACCAATCTCCACACTGAGCAAAGTAGCAAGAGATTCCGGTATTTATAGCAAGCTTCGCGTCCTGATTGGACAGCAGACTGCCGCTCCTCATTCCACCCACCGAATTGGTTCTTACTTCAATCCTCTTCTTAAAGAGGGAGCTTTTCCGCCTCCACATTTATCTTTTAGGAATTTTTTTATGGACTGAATGAGTTTCTAGCGTTTACGTGCATTAAAAAGCTAGGAAATGTGGCCAGTCGAAGTCACATTACTTTGGACATAAAAAAATATAGCATGCTGGGAAACGTGAAAGGGAAATCACGGTTTAGTAATTGCGAATTATTTACTGATTTACTATTGGACATGCGCCATGCTACCACGCTTAACTTCCTATAAAGGGTTTCATGAAACTACTTAATGTACGGGCAGTCCTCGCCATTGTAAAAAGGCAAAAGGGAAAACTTAAGTGAGACATTGATTCCTTAATAGACAAGAGAGTTCTAAATAGTTGCGATCAGGGTCTGACTAAAACCACACTTGAATGCTGAAGAGGAGAATCAGCCTAACTTTGTACGCAAAATATTATGCTGGTGAGGATTTTTTTTTAACTTGGGGAAACTGAACTTTTTAAAATGCCTACAGCCCTTAAGAGATCTAGTGGGTGGCCCTGAAAAGGGCCGTTGGTTGACGAGAGATGGCGGCACCAGGACGCTCAGCCGCCGAAGCCGTAGAGGGTGCGGCCCTGGCGCTTGAGCGCGTAGACCACGTCCATGGCCGTGACCGTCTTGCGCTTGGCGTGCTCCGTGTAGGTGACGGCGTCGCGGATCACGTTCTCCAGGAACACCTTGAGCACGCCGCGGGTCTCCTCGTAGATGAGCCCGGAGATGCGCTTGACGCCGCCMCGGCGGGCCAGGCGGCGGATGGCGGGCTTGGTGATGCCCTGGATGTTGTCCCGCAGCACCTTGCGGTGGCGCTTGGCGCCGCCCTTGCCCAGGCCTTTCCCTCCTTTGCCTCGACCAGACATCCTGCCAAAGTGAACAGACACTGACGCTCTCACCTCTGAGAGCTGATGTATATAGCAGAGTTTCGGACCTGTTTGAGAACTTCCCAAGGCAATGGCACAAGCTCAGAGAAATCCCAGAGAAAGCCCGTCCCACGTTTTCAAGGAAAAAAAAAAAAAAAAGGGCGGTGCTTAAACTGCAGATTCTAGGAAGAGACATATTTAAAAGTTTCTCCGTCCAACTTCGTAATATTCTGCGCTACCATTCCTCTCCTTTATCTGAACCTTCCTAGAGTTCTCTGTCGCTTGTTTAACATTGGCCGCAGCAGTTCCTTCTCGCTTCTGAAACCGAGTTGGCCATTTCGAGAGAGGCCATCGCAGCCACTTGGGTATTTGGGACGTGAGCTGGTATGCCTTGTGCTTTCTCCGATCTGGGCATYGTCCGCCGGAGGAGGACGGTCGTCTTCTGCTCAGGTGTAGCTTCCTCTCTGTTCTGAAGTGTGGTTGTCTGCCCTTCTCATGATTCACTTTTTCTTTCCTTCATGCGCCGCCGTATTTCTGGGGATAAGTGACTAATATTGTCTTTATTCTGCTTGGGAAAAGCTTGAGGAAGGGCGTTTCACTTTCTTTTTTTCTGGAGAGTGCGGCGAATGCGATGTAGCTTGGGGCCCTTCCAGCGTCTCCTCTATTGAAGAAAATTAACTGGAAGCCCACATAATGCCCGATCCGGCAACCAGGGATGCTTTATTTCCAGGGTAAAGAGTTTCAAAGGCAGAGTGCTGGGTCGTTTCCACTTGGCCAGTAGTTCGGATTGACTTCCTCCGACCCTCCCCTGGCTTCTAGGAGTCAGCTGCCTTTACTTGATGCAAGTCTTGAGTTCTTAACTTTCCTTTTCCCAACCTTGGGAATGTTTATTTTTTGATTCAGGCATGTTTGGTTGGTTATTTACTCCTTTAACAAATGTGTAAGATATTTTAGAAGTTAGTCTCTCCAACTGCACTGTGAACTATGATTATTGTACACGCAAAGCATTAATTACATGCTCCTGTTATATAATCTATTTCTCATTGAACTGGTGTCTTTTGTCTTCTTGCTAATATGGAATCCCCATGTTTAATATTGAAGGTGTTAGCCCTGCTTCTTCTACTGGCATAATCACCATAATCTGCTTCCCTTGCAACTCGAAAATCCACGGGCATTATTCGTCATTAAATGGCAGTTATTCTTTTTAAAGTGAAACTTTATATGAGGAAATCTTGAAACAGTGAGAACCCTTAGGAGTGCTACTTTTTATAGGAAGTGTCAGGAGCAGAGACTTTTCCTCCAGCTCAGGGTTAGTAGCTGGGCCTTACAAATTAAATTGGCATATTAACATGGGGTTTTTAAATATAAATATGGGAGATTTTACAAAAAATGAATGAAAGCCCAAAGAAGCAAATAGGCCCCAGGGGGGCTTATAGGCCATCTTAAAGGGGTGAGGTAAACCTACAGGGCAAACTACTGGAAGATAAGTGTTATGAAGATGAAGGTTATGTAGTGAAGTCTGCAGATTCTAATTATCTCAGGGATGAGCATGTTCTTCTGTGAGTTGTTCTCCTCTTCTGGTATGGTAGAGGAAGATACTTTTATCCCTGAAAATTTTCTTAATGTAAGGATTTTTTTTTTCTTTTTTCAAGAGTAAACTTTTACTCTGTTTTTGTACTTTTCTTGTGTTTGCTGTTTCTTAAAATAATGTGCTCAGCATAATCCTTACACCCAAGTAGCTTAGTTTGCAGTTCAATATTATTACGGTCCCCTGCCAACATAACTCAGGAAGGGCTCCGGTTTGATTGGCTTAACAATGGCTTGCCTGGAGAATATTTCATTGTTGGTTGGGGCTCAGAAAGCCATGTTCCAAAATTTGGCACTTTGTGCACTAGCATTTCAGGTTGAAAGACCTCAGACACAAGCCTTTCCCTGACCTTCCCTTCTTTCTTTTCCAAAGCTAGTGACAGAAGCCAGAATTGCTGGGGGGAGGGGGCAGCAGACTAGAAATTCTCTCCCCAAGGAGGCAGGCCCTAACCCTTGGAGAGGTCACTCTCTCCTATCTCCCTTGATGCCCGGTTCTGGAGGGGTCCTGCCCCATACCCAGGAGTAAAGCTTGCCACAGAGACCAGGAAGAATCCGGACCGATGGGCCTTGCTGGGCTCCCCTTCAGTCCTTGAACACCAGGTTTGCAACCTTTTGTCCACAGCTCTCCACTCCTCACCAAGTCTAAGCATAAAAATCAGCAGTCTGCTCCGAGCTGTTGGGCTTTCATTTCTGAAGGCACGTGTCTGGAAGAATGATGAGGTGTGTCTGTTGCGGTCTTCTTRCCCTGGCCTGTCTTTTCTCAAGTGCAGCCAGGACCAGCAAAACGGTGAGGAAAGGGGTCATGTTTTTTAGGGATGTGAATGCTTGTAAATTTTCTTTGTCAAATCAGAGTTTTAAAATTCTCTTCTTGTACCTATGTGGAGAAAATTAATTGATTCTTGAGATTTCTTAAAGAGTTGGAGAATCTAGTTTCATTTAAATTAAGTAGGTGCAAAATGCCCCCCCCCCAGGAAACAGTAATGCTAGTTAGCATGAGTTGCCCAATAAATTCTTATTGATTGTGATAAATGATTGTGTATTTTCCTTACATTAGGGGAGATGAATGTTCTTGAAAAACTAGCCTCCACCTCAGAGCAAAGCCTGTCCAAGGAAGGGACATCACCTTTGTCCTTGGAAAGACCCACAGAGCACTCCTAGCCACATTCCCACCCTGCTAAGTGGTTTATCTACAAATAACAGGAGAGATCTGCTGGACCAGGTGTCCCTGACTCAGTCAGGCTAGGTGAGGACCCATAGCAATCCCCTAGCAGCCACCAATCAGCATGAGACAGGGAAGTACCTGGGATGCCAGATGACCCTCCCAGTAGTTTATGGTGTTGGGAAACCATGTAGTTCAACAAGAACACCCCTCTTGGCTTAAACCAATCAGTTCAAATGAATCCCCCTCTTGTACTAACCAATCACCCCTATCCAACTTGTTCCTGCCAGTGAGTGTGCTAATCATGTTTTAGAGTTGTTATTTGATTTTCCTGCAGTGTGTGATGATTTGCTAAGAGATGCTATGATGTATGTGAAGTCCCTGCCTTCTCCAAAGAGTGTATAAAACTGCTGCAAACCCTGGGCTCRGGGCCTCTCAGCGTCACCAGTTGCTGTGTGTGTGTGTAGGACTGAGCTAGCTCGCAATAAACACCTCTTTGCTGCCTACATCAATCTTGGTCTCTGGTGGTCTCTTGGGGGTCCTGAATTTGAGCATAACATTCTCAAGAGAAATGTTGACCATTTCAGGTTTCATACAATTCCCTTTCTTTCTGATCAAATGAATAAACAAGGCTCTATGTTTTGCTTATTGATCTGTACTTGTCTTATTAACAATTTCTTAATGTTCTTAATTCAAGGTTTTGGGTTCGATCTCTTTTAATGTGACTAAATTTTCAGTTTGATATATTACCTTACTTATCTCCTTGACACTTGATTTTGTCCTGCTTATTTTGCTTAAAGCTTTGGAATTGACTAGTGGATTGTGTTTCGCATATCATTTTTTCTTTCTCTAGTAGGTTGTGTTTTGCATATTCTTTTCTTTCTCTTCTTTCAAAAAATAGTTCATCAGTGCCTCTCCTAATTCTCATTTTCCTATCCCCAAACACACATGTGAACACATGGACATATGCACTAATGCAAAGACCATTAATTGTTCAATCTTTTTCTTCCCATGTACTTACTCTCTCAAATATTTCCTCCATACATTTTACCCAAAATAAAACATCATCACGACACCTAGACACATGGAACTTCCCCTCTTCCCTGGTCACAGCTGAGCATAAACACCATCCCTACCCTCCTTAAAGACCCTTCAGTTTGCATTGTCTCCATGTGTCATTAAGACTGTAGGACCAGAAGAGCCCTCTTTCCCTCTGAAGGTTTGGAATTCAAGTCTGAGGAGTAAACTGGCAGTAGACAGGTTAGCARAGAAAAGGCATACAAATCTATGGTGTGCACCTCCTAACAGAGTCAAGCACCTTATAAACTCTCCTCTCAGGAGAGAGGGAAGCTAGGGATGCAGGCGATTGTAGAAGAAGAAGGCATGGATTTTAGGGAAGATGAATGGGTAGGACAGGGAATGACCTGAGAAAAAGTTTATCTGGGCTGTAGTTGTGTTGTCAGCTCTAGTCTTTCTTCTGGGTGCACCAGTCTCCTGCTAATGATGAGATATCTGTGGAAGGGAGTCACAACATTGAATATCTTCTCAAGGATCAGGCCTTTAGATAGATGGGAACTCTGTTCAGAGAAAGCCTCTCCCTGCATTTGCTGTTCCACGGATGCTCTTGGTTTGAGGGGAAAAATAAGTGGCATATTTTGTGCTATTGTTTTCTAAGCTCCTATAAGACCACTTAAAGAATGTTGCAGATGCAGAATCCATCCTATTATGGTTTGGGTGTGAGGTATCCCTCCAAAACTCATATATGAGACAAGGCAAGAAGGTTTAGAAGAGAAACAATTTGGTTATGAGAGCCTTAACCTAATCTGGGAGTTAATCCTCTGAGGAGAATAACTGAGTGGTAACTGAAGGAGGGTGGGGTGTGGTTGGAGGAGGAAGGTCACTGGGAGCCTGCCTTTGGGGTATGTATTTTGTATCTGGTTAATGGACTCTCTTTCTCTTCTTTCTGATCATCATGTGAGCTTCTTCTCTCCACCACACTTTTCTGTCATGTTTTGCTTTACTCAAGCCTCGAGGGATGGGTTGAGCTGTCTATTGACTGAGACCTCTGATCCATGAGCYCTCAAATAAACTTTCTTCTCCTAAGTTGTTCTGGTCAGGACTTTTAGTCACAGCCATGAGARAGCCGAGTAAAACACTGCCCATCAGATTTCTCTTGCCCTTATCCCACCATCTCTCCTAAGGCCCACAATTCTATAGCCTCTGGAATCTGATTGTAAAGTCATTTTATCAGAGAAACTCCTTACTTGCTCCTGGAATTCTCTCAAGACCCAAGTATGGTCCCGCAGTAATCCAAATGACTCAGGAGTTGAGGCAAGAGGATTGTGAGTTTGAGCCTAACTCGGCAATTTAGGAGATCCTATCAAAAAAAAAAAAAAAAAGCTAAATATGCCTTCCAGTATGAGAGCCTTTCGGTACCTGATGTTTTTTTCTTGTTGACCGAGTGCGCTCTCTGCCCTGGCTGTTTTTGCAGTGTTCTGGTGCCGTGTATGTTCAGGGAAGAAAAAATAATTTTTCCTCTACTTTTTTCTGAGTTCTTAAAAGTAGCAAAAGACAGGTAAGCAGAAGAAAAACAAAACAAAACATACAAATCTTTATTGGGATGTGTATTTCATATATAAACAAAAGATACAAAGGAATTTGAGCACCTCATAGAAGTGGCATAGAAACTATCTTCAGCTGGAACAGGAGCAGGTGTGGGAGACCAGTTATGGGGACGTGGAGAAGCATGGCAACAAGAAAAGGGTCGGCCTGCAAACGGTCACTGAGAATCCATCTTGAGGCAGCCCTCCTTTCTTTCCTGACATGGTGGGGCATGGAGAGAGAGGGAGCATTACAAATGGAGACTTCCAGCTTAGATGTAAATTCCCCTTACAAAAGAACCCTTTGCTCTCAGAACTTCTCCCATGTCTGTAGTTTCTCAAAACCATCTGCTTAACATAATCCTTATGCCAAAGAGGCATATTTTGGGTGACACATTATGGTGTCCTTCTGCACGTAGCCAATGGTGGTCATTAGGCTCCCCTCTAGACTTCCCTCAGTTTTGCTGGTTTTCATGCAGTTCAGGCCAATATTTAGCTCTTACTCTCTAACTYACCTCTTGCTAACATCGCCCAACCTGGATGTCTCGAGAACAGAATCCAAGGTCAAGATGATGTAGCCCTCTGCTACCATGCGGACTCTCCTTTCTGGCTTCAGGCTAGGGACAGGAGCTTTCACAGGCAGGCACAGGCAGGCCTTCTCTAAAAGCCACACAGGTCGGACTCCTTCTGTGGTCATCAGCCTCCTTGGGACTAGAGCTAGGCCATCCCATTCAGTTCCCAGCACTGGTGTTCCCCGGTGTGAACTGGTGCCTGTAGTAAGGGGGACTTAGTCTTGAGTTCAGCTTTGGCTTTTGCCGTTTACTTCTAATCTTACCTTAGACAAAAGAGGGCATTTTTTGGTGTTCCTACACTCTTATTTTACTTATCCCCTTAAATTCTCCCTGCCTTCCTATTATCCTGAATCTGACTTCACGGATCTGTAGACCTCCTTGGGGCACAGGCCTGGCGTGGGAGAGATGGGTAGGTGGTTCTCCTACCCATCTTGTACAAAGTCATGGCCAAGGGCCACCTGAGCACAGGGGTCTCTCCACTTCCTACCAAGGCACAGTTACATTTAGTGCTTTGGATGGAAGGTTCCTGTCRTGCCAAAATTCATATGTTGAAGCCCAGTCCCCCAAGTGATGGTGCTGAGAGCCAGGGCCTCAGGAGGAGATCAGGTCACAAGTTCAAGGATTTTACCATGGGATCAGGGCTTTAATAGTGGAGGTCCCAGAGTTCTGCCTGCCCTTCTGCCGTCTTAGGACACAGCTTGAGGTTCAATGTTCAGTGAACAAGGAAATGGATCATACTGGACTGCTTGGCCTAGAACAGAGGGCAGTATCTTGTTCGTAAGCAACAAACAGGTGGCTCTAGAACCTTTTGCTGTAACAGTGCTAGGGGACTCAGACACTAGCTTTCTTATTTTGCCAGTCTGATGGGTGTTATACAGTTCTTCATTGCTGTTTTCATTTGAATGTCTCTGAATACAAGTGAAGTCAAAAATTTTTTTCTCCATTAAAAATCTGAAGATTTGGGCTGGGGATATGGCTCAAGCGGTAGCGCGCTCACCTGGCATGCGTGTGGCCCGGGTTCGATCCTCAGCACCACATACAAAGATGTTGTGTCCACTGAAAACTAAATAAATAAATAAATATTAAAAAAATTCTCTCTCTTTCTAAAAAAGAATCACAACATTAAAAAAAAATCTGAAGATTTTTCTTCAATTTAAATTAAAACACTCAAAGCATATTTTCTTATATAGAACTATTGCTTGTAACCCCTCTTTCAGGCTACTTATGTAAATGAAAATTTTAATACAGCTTCTCTCATTTTCCATTTCAGAAAGTACAGCATTTTAAATGTATTCAAGATTTATTATTATTATTATTATCAGCAAGGATACCTAAATAAATTCAGTTTTTTACATCTTACAGCCTCTTTCCTGATGAGAGCCTATAAAGAAACAGAAAGAGACAGAAGCAAGCAAGGTGCAGGGGTGAAGTAAAAAGGGCACTACTCATCTGAGTGGCCAGCTTTATTTATAAAGGAACTTCCTTTATTCCCAGAAGCTGAGTGTCTGAGACTAAGATGGAAGCTGATAAGACCCTAGAATAGAGCCTCCTCACCAAGGACAGCAGCTAGGCATTGAGCATGTATTAGTTATCTGACTAGTTTCAGGGAGAAACTGTAGAATATTCCAAGTGTGGAGAACAGGGTGCCCATTACCCTCCGGGAGTTGGCTCACCAGAGGAATGCTCCCTTGCGTGTTTCCATGGCCCACATCCTTGTAAGAGCCATGGCAGTGGGGAGTGCTTCTGGCAGCTCCCGTGATGAAGCGGAAACCGCCCTGAGCCTGGACTAGAGTGTGTGGTTGTAGCTCTGCTTGCTCCTGTTGAGTGCCTTTCAGGACCTCGGCACTTCTGGGGAGCATCAGAGCCCTGTGAGCATTAGTTTTCAACTCATATTTCCAACATCATTTCTGCCTCCTAGATTGATGCTTCATGGATTCCATGGAGTGTCCAGAATTTGAAGAGAAGTGTGGGGGAGTCTGCCTGGTGGAAAACAAAAGCTAACAGRTTGCCAAAGAAATAAGATGAGCTATTTGCCTATGAGATGAGCCATAAAATTGACTTGTTTATGTGTCAGTCATTGAATTGGATAGCTTCCTAAGTCTTAACCAGTGACAAGAGTTAAACCCCAGTTTAGTCTCATCAGAGGACTTGGGTTTGTTTCTCCAGCTCTCCTAACCCAAATCCGGAGAGGAAACTAACGTGTTCTCTGGGGCATCGATCAAGGCACTGTCTCATATCACCTCATTTAACCTCTAAAACATCTCTTAAAGAAAGGGAAAGACCTGTTTTGTAGAAAAAAGGAGAGTAATGATTTGCAATGGCTTTTCTTATTTAACAAGTAGTAGGACCGCTAGAGATGGTACCTCTGACAGGTAGTTCAGGAAAATGGCATTCAAATAATGAAATCCACTGTGARTGATGGGTTCAGAGCATGCTATCCCAGGATTTGGGGTATTTAAAGTTGCAGGAACTTGAGTAATAGCACATGCAAGAAGGATTTCTGACCTTCCCTTGAAGTCTTAAGTACAGAGGAAAGGAATGACAGAGAGCCACAGGACGCCCTCTGGTGAGCTGGCCTTGGTAACTACCCCCTCTCCCCCAGCATGCAACATTCCAGTTTAACTGCTTTGGGTCCAAATGCAACAGGTTCATTTCATGCTTTGCTGTTCTGCCACTGAGGCTTATTTTAAAACTGATATCCCCTTCCCCCACCTCTTTTCCCTCTTCCCCTCCCTAACCTTGGGGAATCAAGATCACTTTTCTTCCCATCCTAGGCCAGGTTATCTGTCCTTGAGCTTATGTACCACAGGAATGAAGTGATTTAGACTTCAGGGATGGCCCCAGGTCTAAGAAATGCTACATGTGAATTATGACCCATGACAAAGAACAGCTTAGAATGTAGCCTTTGAATCCCCTCTTTAAAAGTCCTGTTTCCCATGACAGGCAGAATCACAGCCTCTGGGCTAGAAGTCCCCTGTATTTCTCCTTTGCTAGCAAAGCAATAAGACTTCTTTTTTTCTTTTCCTTACAATGTGTCCTCATTATTGGATTGGCATGAGGACTTATATTTTTTTGGTAGTACTCATTGCCTTAACAAGACTGTTCATACAAAATTTACATTTAATACATTTGCATGCTTTTCTCTCATGAATCTTTTGTTACAGAAGCTCTGGCCTATGAATTTAAGTAGAAGGAAGATATTTCTCCTYCCCTGCATTGGTTTAAATTTGTGTGGGATGTAGAAAAAGGAGAACAATGATTTGTAATGGCTTAGTTAACAAGTAGTAGGACCACTAGAGATGGTACCTCTGACACACAGAAATTCTTCAAAAACTGGAGGGTGCAGCCATAATGCCTGGGCCCACCTGCACCAAGAACATTTTGTGTGCCAAGCCCCCCTACCCCTGCCCTACATGAATGAGCTATACCCTAACTGTGTGCCTACCTCACAATGTTCCTTTAATAGATGTGATCGTAAATGTGGGAAAGCTTAAAAGAGACGKGCATGAAACAATTGTTAGCACTAACAGGGCAAGGTCAGAGAGGCTTCCTGCACATGCAGTCTCTTAACTGAGTTAATTCTTAGCCAGTTTCCTTGGAAATAGCAAATTGGTTGATAAGTCAATATGTGTTCACAGGGACATTGATTTCTTGGAGTCTTACTCATTTCTAAGTGAACTGAAAAACATAAAGTAAGGTTTCTTTCTCCTTCAAAGCTGCTAGCCAGAGGTGCTTACCTGCACAGCTGCTCTGCCTGAGAGGCCACAGCTTGCCTCCTCCTCCTGAATTCTTAGTGTRCTAGGCTGGTTTTCAGCCTCTGGATAGCAACACAAATAAATCCTGCAGATTCCTGGGAAGGAAAGGAGAGGTCTGCTGGACCAGACGTCCCTGTAGCCAGGGACCAAGCTGTGGGCCCTCATCCCACCTGGGCTACTTGATTCTTTAGGATGACTCCTGACTCTCCTGTCTCATCAGTTCCTCACTGTGAAACAAATTACTAAAAAGTGTAGCAGCTTAATACAGCAAGTTTACTACCTCTCACCTTCTGAAGATGAGGCACACAGTGGTTTAGCTGTGGGGGTCTAGCTTGGGGTATTTCAGGAAGTGCAGAGTCCACTTGTTGCAGGGGCTATAGTCATCTGGGGCTTGACAGGGGCCAGAAGTGGCTCACTTCCTGGCTATAATTCTTTGCTGACTGTTGAAGGCCTCACTTTCTTACTAGGCAGGCCTCTCCAAGGGGTTGCTGGAGGGTTCTTCCACATGGCCCCTGGGGTCCAGAGCATCTAGACTTAGCCAGTAGGAAGTACAGTGCTTGTCATGATCTAGTCTTTAAGCCGCGCGGGACTTTTTTTTTCCTTAGAAGCTCATCTCTAAATTCAGGGTACATGCAGGGGACTGGAATTAGGCTCCAGTTTTTGAAGGAAGGAGCATCAAATGAAACCATAATTTCTAAGTTCACACTTAAGTGTGCATTCCATTTGAAACAGCAGACCTCAGAAGACTCTAAAATCCCAGCCAGGGTCCTTGAAATAGAGCAGGAAGACCTTTGTGTGGGCCTGTGTGTCTGTCTTTTCCACTGAAGAAAATCAGGCCTTCTGCCCTGGCTATTGATGTCTTTCCCAGAATGGAATCTTCTGTTTTCCTAAAGCCTTTGGAGGGCTGAGCTGAGCAATCTGTGCCTGAGTGATAGCAAATTAGCAATCCATCCTAGAAATAAAGCAGCGAGCAAAAACAACAAATCTTTGGTCTATAACTTGCATCTTCTACAGGGGGAAAAAAAAAAAAAGCAAAATGTAACTGTTACCACTTAGCTTCACAGATGTCAGGCAGCACCTGGTCTCCTGGGTTAGGACTTCATGCAAGTCAGTCATGCAAGGGTCCAAGTCTTTAGAAGCTTTCAGTTGCCCCAGGTGAGACAGGTCTGTACCAGGTGGTTTCCACTCTGGCTTCTGCCTGGTAAATCACTAGTGTAGCATCAGGTGATTGGCCTACAGTTAAGATGGCCTAATGCCCCTGAATTGCCYCTCAGGCACATGGCTGCACTACTAGGCTCCTGCAAATAAGACCAAAGGCTAAGGCGCTAACTTTACAACATCACAGTCTTAGCATGGGAATGCACATTTCAGAGCTTTATCCTATGAGGTTATCAGGTGAGTCACTGCCAGACAAAACGTCAGTTCTCGTGGGAACCAGAATGCTCATTTGAACACGACCATGTCCTTCTTTCTGGTGACAGTGGTTCAGCTGGCTCTGCTGAATTCAGGTGTGGTTCTTTCAGGTCAGGAGTGATGCTTTAACAATCACAGTACTGGGTAAGAGAATATGAGACCCACCTGTTAGGTAGCTAGTTCAGCCCTGAATGGAAGAGCAGGAAAGAAGTAAAAACCACAGGGAGACTTGTCTGACAGATAAGCACCTGGAAGATGGGGCCTGGAATGTCAAACCTCCCTCACCCACAGTCCCATCTCAGGCAGGAGGATTTCTAGTCCAAGACCAGCCTCAGCAAATTATCAGAGCCCTAAGCAACTTAGTGACACCATGTCTCAAACTGTAAACTAAAAAAGGGCTGTAGCTCAGTGCTAAAGTGCCCCTGGGTTCAATCCCCAGTACCAAATGAACAAACAAAAAAAGCTAATTTCAAGATCAAGTTGAAGTGGCACCCGGTTTCTCCACAGAAAAGCCGTCTTCACCATGGCTGATTTGGGGACTGTCAACAAGAGTCTCTGCAAGAGTCCCATGTAGATAAACTTCCTATTTTCATGTCACCCTGTTTACTAGGCCACTGGCCGAGAAGATAMMAGCACTCCAGGTGCTGGACACCCCCTTACTAGTTTTTCACAAATGTATCAGTATAGTACTTTGAAGAAATGTGCAAACCAGGCCTCTGGCCTTGAGCTGGGCTTCACAGAGATGTCTACATTTTTAAGATAAGTTACAATTGGGCTCCATGGTAACAGCTGGCAGGGGGAGGAAAGAGTGGAGAAGAAGCTCTCCCCTTCTCAGGTGTTGTCCTTGAAGGGTTAACTTGCCCAGAACAATAAAAGGAAAAGCTGCTTTTATGTGAACTTCTGAGCCCCTCCCCTTATACGCTGGGTATAAAATCCTAAAACTCCCTGAACTTGGGGTTCAGGGGATTGATTGATTACAGCAAAGGCTGTACCCTCTGAACCTGGCTGCAGGCAAATAAAACCGTTTCCTGCTAGCTTCATCTTCGATGCATTTGTCCCTACAACAAAGTCACAGCCTCCCAAGTAGCCTGTACCCTCATCACAGAAACCTGACACAAACCCCCATCACCCTGGCAACCAGAACATCAAGACCCTCACACAGAAAGCTTGATGGTAGCTGTTCAAAGGGTAGGTAATAAACTGATTGAAGGGGCAGGAAACTGACAGGGATTCTCAGTTTTCTTAAAAATTCCAATTCTGAACATTACACCATCCTATCTTGGAGAAGGTCCATGCAGCTCCCAGGCTGTCAGTCCCAAGTAAAGATGAGGACTTGGGTAGGGTTCTGGAAACCTCTGGGAATTCCCAATAAAACTGGAGGGCACCCCATCCCTCTCCTCTCTATAAGGACCACTCTTTAGTCTCGTGCCMGTTATTGAGGTACGTAAAACTTCCTCACTTCATCTCATAAATCCGGGTGGGATGGGTAGGACATTTGGGGGTGCCTGTTTCCTGAAAGGTGCCACCCCYTAACATACCTAACAATCTCACCTCCCAGGAACCTGGAGGGACAGTTGTCCGCCCCCCGACTATGTAGCACTCACAACCCGCAAGATGACCTATTGGCAAAGCCTACCTTGGCGGAGGAAGCAATCATCCTTTGAAAGGACTCCTCAGCGGAGTGCGGTAGTGACTCCTGAAGCTGCGGCCGAGGACTAGCCCAGTTCAGGGGTAGCCTCAGCATTTCAGCGAGACCCTAAGCAACTTGGCAATAGCTGGGGATGTGACTCAGCTCCATCTCCAATAGCTCCCCAAACAAAAGAAACCCACTTTCCACAGTTGCCTACGTACTACATACACAGCCTAACTCCAGAGCCAATGTGAAATTGACTCTTACGCCCTTTGGAGCAAGGTTCACCGATTTTAGTAACGAAAAATACCTTGTGGTGCAGAGGATCTTCTCACGTGGGCTACGAGGAAAAGACCAAGCCTAAGTCAAGGTGGAGCAGCACTGTCACTGAGAACTTTGGTGGCTCTGAAAAGAGCCTTTGGGGAGGTGGCTAGGAGCCTTGAGTTCACGCCCTTTCCCCGCGGATGCGGCGCGCCAGCTGGATGTCCTTGGGCATGATGGTGACGCGCTTGGCGTGGATGGCGCACAGGTTGGTGTCCTCGAACAGCCCCACCAGGTAGGCCTCGCAGGCCTCCTGCAG